CCCATACATCAGTTACTTTGGGGATGAGTGACTGTCCAAGAGTCACCCGGCCGACGCCTCACGTCACTAACGAGGTTGTCAGGGCCAGCGAGCTGTCCACATTATAGCAGTCACCGGAGGTGCCATACAACGCCGGGGTAGCTGTCTCGAGATCACCAATACCCACCTGCTGCGTCATCAAGACTGCAGTCATTCCAGCAGTGTTGGAGGAGAGGTCAAGAAATGGAAAGCACGTAGCAGTACTCAAGAATTTCGCCGGAAGATTAATGATTACGTCATCTGAAGTAACAAGAAAGCAGAAGTAAGGCGGTCACAGGTGGAAGGCACGGTTTCCCTACAGAGTACCGGGACTCGCCAATAGAAGGTCGCAAAATTGTCTCCTTTGGCCTAAAGTCGGCGGTACGAGGGTATACACAGTTGGTGTTTACGGCCTAGTAACCTGGTGACATCAAGAAACGCCTGAGATGACGTGAGCAATGATGGAAGACGAGATTCACCTGTTCTGCAAACAAGCAACCCGCCTCTACGACCTTCTGACACCACTCCTGCTAAGAGACACCGTTGGTACATCCAGTCCTGCTCTGCTGTGGTCATCTGCGACAAGTTTAACATCAAGACTACCGTGTGAACTGTGATTGATACGAAGGCGTGTGGACTGTCGAGAGCAAGATTAATGGCCGAAGTAACAGTATTCTACAGCTGTCACTTGGCACTCCGCTCTACTACACTCTGTCGTCATTCAGGAGTACCGGATGGGAGTACAAGAGGACCAGGTATTGATGTCTACACATGAAGAAGCAAGATCGACACCGTCATCGTCAGCGACTACATTCAGCATCCAGCAGCATCGATTTTTTTTTTCGATTACTCAATATGAACAATTGATACAAACAACAAAGTTGGCTCTGAACATCTGTGTAAAGAACATCTGGACACTTTTGTTTAAATGTTGAAAAACAGAGTTAGAATCAATACTTTATAAATGTTGAAAAACAGATTTAAAATAATTCTGGTATAATATATGAATTTTACTCTATAAATTGGTCAGTAATCAAAATCGAAGCCCCTGTGTAATTGTCTCAGCCCAGAACAAACGGTTATGGAAAATTATGTTGTGCTATTTTTTTCAGAATGTTTGAACACAGGAGAGGCGGACCAATATAAACATTGACACTTCTAGTGAGTGAGAACACTTGGCTGTACAGTCAGCTGAAACCTGTGATATAGTATAGGAATTTTTTTTTTATTTTTAGATACATGTAATAAACGTTAGGTGTGTTCCTTAGCATGTCAAGGTTGACATTGATGGGGAGTGGTTAGTACACGGATGTGAACTGATAGTTCCGTAGTACGCTCCCGGATGACTGAAAGTTCAGTCTGAACTTATAACTTTAATGTTTGTTTGAGCACGGTGTGGCCGGCTCTAGAGGACACATGGACTTGGCTAGTGAAGAGCCAAGAGAGTTTAATAGCTAGTTTTTGATGGTAGAGTAGGGACATGTTATTTAGCTATGTCAGTAAGGATAGGATGTATGTTTCCTGATATTAGAGGATTGCTGTCAGTTGACAGCTGAGAAATTTATGAAATATGAACATGTTCATTATGATGTTGGACTATTATTTGTCAAATTTTATTAGTTAGGTTAGCTTTTGTTTGTGGCATGAGTTGAATTGTGGGTTTGGATACTAAACCTCGTGAATTTTAACAAATTAACAAGGTTTACTAAGTGCTTGTGCGGGGGGGTTGTAACAAACTAGGCTGTTGTAAGAATTATCCAGAGGGGTTTATCGACAAAAGAGAATGGGAAGCTGAGCCGCATGGTGACCTGACCCCCAGGGGAATTCGCGGTGGAAATAACCGACGCTTTGTTCATAGCTGCGTATAATGAATCATCCTATAGTATTCAGTAATTTAGAGAAAATTAGCCTTTATTCATTTTGCATTAAAATTGTATTGTATAATAGTACTGGATACAATATCAAGAGTATTCTAATTATTGAGTTTAAGTCACCATCAGTGACGTCACGAATCAGATCTAACTTTTAAGGCGGAGTGACCGGCGGTCATAGGTCAGCAGGGTTGACATGTCTAATATTTCTCAAAGTTTTAATAACCATTTTTGTGATCGGGAACAGCTCTGCCGTTAGATGTTTGTGTAATTTAATTCAGTAAAATAATTCAACCAGTCTGGATCAATTAAGTACAACAGAGGTTAATTGTTATAACTTAAACCTTGCTAGTAACTGGGTAGAACTTTGACTAGGCGGAAGGATACAATGTTCTGTCTGGGGGAGACCAGACAAGGAAAAAATCAGTGTGAATACGGGAGCAGCTGGGAGAGGTCAAACATCTTACCTCTCCCCAAACCAGCACAACATCTTAGCTGGAAAACCAAGGTATAGTTGCTATGGTTATGTATAGAAATAGTCTTCTCATTTGCCATTCAGGTCAAGTAGGGAGTGTTAAAGTGATAGGGAGTGAACATATTTAGATTTTGTTTTAGTTTTCTTTTAATAAATTAAATTTGTTATTAATTTGCATTTTATTGTTTCCATGTGTTTTATGTGTATACTTGTCCTGGTCACGTGGTCCACACGAGGCAGAGTTGCATTGGGCGCCGATTCTAACATCGAATCGGAATTATCATTACCGTGTAATTTATTCCACACTCAAGGTCATCGTTTATAGTGGGGATCAAGCCCCTAGGTTGATTAATTAGCGTGATCGATCCAGACCTCGATCATTGCTCTTGTATTACTGGTCTGGTGGTGGCAGCAGAGGTGACTCTAGGGTTTTGTTCAGAGCTTAGGTCACGTCATACTGGGTGTAGAATCCTAAGTCGGTCAATCGTCTTAGGACCACGTGGCGTGGAGTTGGCTTTGTTAAAAGTTTTGGAGTCCCTTGGTTTAGAAATAAAAGTAAGAATACGGGTAGAGGGAGTAGAAAGAAGGAAGTAAAGAGAGAGGAACCCAAACCCGTGTTACATGTGGGAAACGACCTGTGAGATTTATATTTATTTAATTTATATGAATTTATATAGAATTTATATTTGTTAATTTATATATTTCGATAGCAATTTGTATGATGTTAAGTGGACTGTATTTCTGCAATAATCTCACAAATCGATCCTTACACATTAGGGGGGTTTATATTAAATTTATATATATGCAGCCAATCAAACTACAGTATTAACTACATATATTAGTATACATTGAGGAGGTTCCTTATCTTATTGTACAGCAGCCTTAGTCCACCAGATATAACTAGGATGTAGACACCAAATTATCCTCGTTTGAGGCTAGCTTCCATCACCCAGTAACTGATGTATCAAGTCTTGCTTCCTCTTCTTGTTCCTGTCAAAGGGCGCCAGCTGTAAAGCCAGAATCCTAATATATGACAGCTATATCAGAGAAAACACTGTATAATAGATATGATAAGGACCAAGGCTTAATTACCTGGGTTGAGTCGATCATTTGTGTTCTCACCGGTTCGCCCAATATCTACCTAACATTAATGGCCAAAAATGATTAGATAAACGGGTTTCGGAAAGACACTTCCCTTGTGTTTGTTGACAGCGTGTTGATGATGGCAGAACACTACTCTGATCTCCATAACACTTCGTCCAAGAGAAATTATAGGAGCTGAATTTGCTCCACGACTCTGGTCTAACAACAATGGCTGACTTCTCCTCCTCACTGACGCCTTGGCACTTTGTCCAGATATCAGTAACTGATAGAAGAGTCACATTTACTCTGTTTTGATACTGATAATTAAGTTAATTCATATGAGATGTTTTTATGATGGTAAAAGTCCAAAGACTAATGTATTTAAGAATAATTCCCAACACAATAGCTGGTGAATTTATAATAGTATGTGACAATGATATCCCGTTTTCTATTGACGGAAAATTCCACTACAAGCTACATTTTCTATGGGTTAACTTGCGTATACAATGGCAGCAATATTATCTGCCTGTTGAATTGATATTATTAAATGGTGTCGGGTTTTCCGACAGAGGAAGTGTGACCAGGCGGCCATACAGGTCTTGCTCAACCACAGTGTCTCTCGTGAGAAAGTTGGACCTAACCTACAACACATCGAAATTTAAAGTTATTATAACAAACCCACCTTTCTGAGGAAGCCTGGTCGGGTACTAAAGGTACCCTGCACTCGAGGTACCTTGTACTCAAGGTACCCTGCACTCGAGGTACCTTGTACTCAAGGTACCCTGCACTCAAGGTTCCATGCACTAAAGGTTCCCTGCACTCAAGGTTCCATGCACTAAAGGTTCCCTGCACTCAAGATTCCATGCACTAAAGGTTCCCTGCACTCAAGGTTCCCTGCACTCAAGGTACCCTGCACTCAAGGTTCCCTGCACTCAAGGTCCCATGCACTCAAGGTTCCCTGCTTTCAAGGTACCCTGCACTCAAGGTACTATGCACTCAAGGTTCCCTGCACTCAAGAAACCCTGCACTCAAGGTACTTTGCACTCAACGTACCCTGCACTCAAGGTACTATGCACTCAAGGTTCCCTGCACTCAAGAAACCCTGCACTCAAGGTACTTTGCACTCAACGTACCCTGCACTCAAGGTACTATGCACTCAAGGTCCCCTGCATTCAAGGTTCCCTGCACTCAAGGTTCCCTGCACTCAAGTTACCCTGCACTCAACGTACCCTGTACTCAAGGTACTATTCACTCAAGGTCCCCTGCACTCACGGTACCCTGTACTCAAGGTACCCTGCACTCAAGGTATCCTGCACTCAAGGTACTCTTCACTCAAGGTCCCCTGCACTCAAGGTTCCCTGCACTCAAGGTCCCTGCACTCAAGGTCCCCTGCACTCAAGGTCCCCCTGCACTCAAGGTACCCTGCACTCAAGGTCTTGCGAGACATGCTCAGAGCTTCTTTCCTGTGTTCAGGAAAGGCACAGGAAATTGTGCAATATTTTCCATATGCACAATTTGGTATTACAATTGAGTTAATTGTTATATTTCTTCAGGCACTACCAAAATCCATCACCAACGATGAGCAGCGAGAACTTCTGGCCCTTCTGTGCAAGGTCAGTCTCACACCTTGTGTCTAGTACATTGTTGTAACATTACTCAAGTTTTCATATATCAACATGTAAACACACACACACACACACACACACACACACACACACACACACACACACACACACACACACACACACACACACACACACACACACACACACAGCGAGAGATACACCTATATATCGCATAGGGAGGTGGTGGCTGACTGGCCAGCACTCTAGACTCGTGGGCTGATGGGCCGGGGGTTTGATCCCCCCCCCCCCCCGGCACCGCCGGAAAAATAAATGGGCAGAGTTTCCTTCACCCTGATGCACCTGTTATCTTGCAGAAAATTGGTACCTGGGAGTTATACAGCTGCTACGGGCTGCTTCCTGTGTGTGTGTGTGTGTGTGTGTGTGTGTGTGTGTGTGTGTGTGTGTGTGTGTGTGTGTGTGTGTGTGTGTGTGTGTGTGTGTGTGTGTGCGTGCGCGGGCGTGTACTCACCTAGTTGTGTTTGCGGGGGTTGAGCTCTGGCTCTTTGCTCCCGCCTCTCAACCGTCAATCAACAGGTGTACAGATTCCTGAGCCTATTGGGCTCTATCATATCTACACTTGAAACTGTGTATGGAGTCAGCCTCCACTACATCTCTTCCTAATGCATTCCATTTGTCCACCACTCTGACACTAAAAAAGTTCTTTCTAATATCTCTGTGGCTCATTTGGGCACTCAGTTTCCACCTGTGTCCCCTTGTACGTGTTCCCCTTGTGTTAAATAGCCTGTCTTTATCTACCCTATCAATTCCCTTCAGAATCTTGAATGTGGTGATCATGTCCCCCCTAAATGTCTTCCAGCAAAGTGAGGTTTAATTCCTGTAGTCTCTCCTCGTAGCTCGGGTACTAGTCTGGTGGCAAACCTTTGAACCTTTTCCAGTTTAGTCTTATCCTTGACTAGATACTAGATACTTGACTAGACTCCATGCTGGGACTGCATACTCCAGGATTGGCCTGACATATGTGGTATACAAAGTTCTGAATGAATCTTTACACAAGTTTCTGAATGCCGTTCGTATGTTGGCCAGCCTGGCATATGCCGCTGATGTTATCCGCTTGATATGTGCTGCAGGAGACAGGTCTGGCGTGATATCAACCCCCCAAGTCTTTTTCCTTCTCTGACTCCTGAAGAATTTCCTCTCCCAGATGATACCTTGTATCTGGCCTCCTGCTCCCTACACCTATCTTCATTACATTACATTTGGTTGGGTTAAACTCTAACAACCATTTGTTCGACCATTCCTTCAGCTTGTCTAGGTCTTCTTGAAGCCTCAAACAGTCCTCTTCTGTTTTAATCCTTCTCATAATTTTAGCATCGTCTGCAAACATTGAGAGAAATGAATCGATACCCTCTGGGAGATCATTTACATATATCAGAAACAAGATTGGACCGAGTACAGAGCCCTGTGGGACTCCACTGGTGACTTCACGCCAATCGGAGGTCTCACCCCTCACTGTAACTCTCTGCTTCCTATTGCTTAGATACTCCCTTATCCACTGGAGCACCTTACCAGCTACACCTGCCTGTCTCTCCAGCTTATGTACCAGCCTTTTATGCGGTACTGTGTCAAAGGCTTTCCGACAATCCAAGAAAATGCAGTCCGCCCAGCCCTCTCTTTCTTGCTTAATCTTTGTCACCTGATCGTAGAATTCTATCTAGCCTGTAAGGCAAGATTTACCCTCCCTGAACCCATGTTGGCGATTTGTCACGAAGTCCCTTCTCTCCAGATGTGTTACCAGGTTTTTCTCACGATCTTCCACGTGTGTGTGTGTGTGTGTGTGCGTGCGTGCGTGCGTGCGTGCGCGGGCGTGTGTGTTGGGAAAAAAATAGTAACAATTGATTGATTGACAATTTAGAGACAGGCCGAAAGAGCAGAGCTCAACCCCTGCAGGCACAACTAGGTGAGTACACACAACACACAAAGGTGAGATATATTTACTTGGGACTGGACACTGATATAAATGTCCTCAATCAGAAAGGACGCACAAGCCCGCACGTTAAATGGCAGATGCAAATTATACTATAACACTGAAATAAATGGTGGCAGAAACGGCCAGGTTCCAAAACAATTGGACCCTTATCCACTAGGTTATTAAGCTCCCCAAATGCTTAGTACAATCTTAAGGATAGCTTACGGGTTCTCACACCAAATTTAACTTGATGTGTGCGGCAATGAATCGGGTTCGAAACCAGAAGCAGGCCTTCATTAAAGATTGTAAGAACAGTTAAATATGTTGCAGCATGAGTGAAGCAATAATAATGGAAGGTATTGACATAAAGTCACTTTTCTATTGGCAACAACAACAATTTCTTCATAAAGAACTAAGGGGCAATGGGGTAGTTTTTTGAACTTTGTTCAATGTCAACAAATATTTTTTGACTAGATGTATATGAAAACAGCTGCAATTGTTCCAAGCTTCAGTACTGCAGCCTAAATAGAAAGGGAGATCTATTTTTTTTCAATGGATATTACACATTTTAAGTATGTCCCTACAACCACAAGTTTCAAATATAATCATTCTATGACACTTTACTATCACATTATCATATAATAAAGGATCTGTAGCCGCGGATTTTCCAAAATATGTTTAGTTTTTCTAATACAAATAGTCAAAGTTCCCCCCCAAATTATTCAAATATATCATGTTTATTACTATTATAAAATCAATAAATGAACTTAGGAAAAAAACGCTGGCAACAGATTTTCTTGACATAAACTCTACATATAAGGTGTAAGTTTCATGTAAATTGAATAAAAATGAAAGAGTAGGGACTACGTTTATGTTACTTGAAAATTAAATAATTAAAACTTAAAGTCTAAGGTGCTGCCATCTGTTACTGAGGTTGACATCAACCAATTTCCTCCAAAAATGTCACCCTTACAGATAGGCTTACGTGCAGTCAGGTGTATAAGTTTCATGCAAATCGTCCGATAAATAAAAAAGAAAAATTAATCATTTTTTTATTTTTTTTAATAAAACTAATAATTTTTTTTTTAATTTATGCTATTGTGATAGCTGAGAGCCATAGACACGATTTCAGTTGACTTTTGTGTTTGATGTTAATTTTTGACCATTTAGGAAAATTTTCCACACATAACTCAATATTTTTGCTCCCTTCCTATTTATGCTACGATGCTGAGACTTGGACCAGATGAAACCCTTTTCTTATAGAACTCGTCAAAAACGTTTGATTGAAATCGAACTAGTTTTCACTTATTGCATATTTTGGGCATATTTGACCCCATGCCCCTTAATCTAATACAAGGCACAACAGTCTTAACGTTACATTAAGGCCTTAAGTGAAACTAAAGACAGTTATCCAGCCAGCAGGTTAGCAGGGAGTCCTCTCCTCGCCTCTCATAGTATAGCAGGGAGTCCTCTCCTCGCCTCTCATAGTATAGCAGGGAGTCCTCTCCTCGCTGCTCATAGTATAGCAGGGAGTCCTCTCCTCGCCGCTCATAGTATAGCAGGGAGTCCTCTCCTCGCTGCTCATAGTATAGCAGGGAGTCCTCTCCTCGCCTCTCATAGTATAGCAGGGAGTCCTCTCCTCGCTGCTCATAGTATAGCAGGGAGTCCTCTCCTCGCCGCTCATAGTATAGCAAGGAGTCCTCTCCTCGCTGCTCATAGTATAGCAGGGAGTCCTCTCCTCGCCGCTCATAGTATAGCAAGGAGTCCTCTCCTCGCCTCTCATAGTATAGCAAGGAGTCCTCTCCTCGCCTCTCATAGTATAGCAAGGAGTCCTCTCCTCGCTGCTCATAGTATAGCAGGGAGTCCTCTCCTCGCCGCTCATAGTATAGCAAGGAGTCCTCTCCTCGCCTCTCATAGTATAGCAAGGAGTCCTCTCCTCGCCTCTCATAGTATAGCAAGGAGTCCTCTCCTCGCCTCTCATAGTATAGCAAGGAGTCCTCTCCTCGCCTCTCATAGTATAGCAGGGAGTCCTCTCCTCGCCTCTCATAGTATAGCAGGGAGTCCTCTCCTCGCCGCTCATAGTATAGCAGGGAGTCCTCTCCTCGCTGCTCATAGTATAGCAGGGAGTCCTCTCCTCGCCTCTCATAGTATAGCAAGGAGTCCTCTCCTCGCCTCTCATAGTATAGCAAGGAGTCCTCTCCTCGCCTCTCATAGTATAGCAGGGAGTCCTCTCCTCGCCTCTCATAGTATAGCAAGGAGTCCTCTCCTCGCCTCTCATAGTATAGCAAGGAGTCCTCTCCTCGCCTCTCATAGTATAGCAAGGAGTCCTCTCCTCGCCTCTCATAGTATAGCAAGGAGTCCTCTCTTCACCTCTCATAGTATAGCAGGGAGTCCTCTCCTCGCCTCTCATAGTATAGCAGGGAGTCCTCTCCTCGCCTCTCATAGTATAGCAAGGAGTCCTCTCCTCGCCTCTCATAGTATAGCAAGGAGTCCTCTCCTCGCCTCTCATACTATAGCAAGGAGTCCTCTCCTCGCCGCTCATAGTATAGCAGGGAGTCCTCTCCTCGCCTCTCATAGTATAGCAAGAAGTCCTCTCCTCGCCTCTCATAGTATAGCAAGGAGTCCTCTCCTCGCCTCTCATAGTATAGCAGGGAGTCCTCTCCTCGCCGCTCATAGTATAGCAGGGAGTCCTCTCCTCGCCTCTCATAGTATAGCAAGGAGTCCTCTCCTCGCCGCTCATAGTATAGCAGGGAGTCCTCTCCTCGCCTCTCATAGTATAGCAGGGAGTCCTCTCCTCGCCGCTCGTAGTATAGCAGGGAGTCCTCTCCTCGCCGCTCATAGTATAGCAGGGAGTCCTCTCCTCGCCGCTCATAGTATAGCAGGGAGTCCTCTCCTCGCCGCTCATAGTATAGCAGGGAGTCCTCTCCTCGCCTCTCATAGTATAGCAAGGAGTCCTCTCCTCGCCTCTCATAGTATAGCAAGGAGTCCTCTCCTCGCCTCTCATAGTATAGCAGGGAGTCCTCTCCTCGCCGCTCATAGTATAGCAGGGAGTCCTCTCCTCGCCTCTCATAGTATAGCAAGGAGTCCTCTCTTCACCTCTCATAGTATAGCAGGGAGTCCTCTCCTCGCCTCTCATAGTATAGCAGGGAGTCCTCTCCTCGCCTCTCATAGTATAGCAAGGAGTCCTCTCCTCGCCGCTCATAGTATAGCAGGGAGTCCTCTCCTCGCCTCTCATAGTATAGCAGGGAGTCCTCTCCTCGCCGCTCATAGTATAGCAGGGAGTCCTCTACTCGCCGCTCATAGTATAGCAGGGAGTCCTCTCCTCGCCGCTCATAGTATAGCAGGGAGTCCTCTCCTCGCCGCTCATAGTATAGCAGGGAGTCCTCTCCTCGCCGCTCATAGTATAGCAGGGAGTCCTCTCCTCGCCGCTCATAGTATAGCAGGGAGTCCTCTCCTCGCCGCTCATAGTATAGCAGGGAGTCCTCTCCTCGCCGCTCATAGTATAGCAGGGAGTCCTCTCCTCGCTGCTCATAGTATAGCAGGGAGTCCTCTCCTCGCCGCTCATAGTATAGCAGGGAGTCCTCTCCTCGCCTCTCATAGTATAGCAGGGAGTCCTCTCCTCGCCGCTCATAGTATAGCAGGGAGTCCTCTCCTCGCCGCTCATAGTATAGCACAGAGTAGTATCCGCGCCTCTCGGGCTGATATAATGAACTGGTCAATACGGGAGCTCACTTAGGGCTCAAGTTGCAATTCAAGCAATTGCAACAAAATGCAATTTAATAACAATGCAAACACATCACTGGGGATCACTGAGACCGTCTCCAGTAACGCTCTCAGTTACGTTAACACAAACACATCACTGGGGATCACTGAGAGTCTCCAGTAACGCTCTCAGTTACGTTAACACAAACACATCACTGGGGATCACTGAGACAGTCTCCAGTAACGCTCTCAGTTACGTTAACACACGTATCTAAGGACGATAATTAAAACAATAGTCTAATCAATGACACTAATTGTTCTAGGTGATTAATTACGTTAATTTACTGTCAACTGAACAGTCAGTAACAAGCAATCAACGTTAATCACAATCCTGTTTCTCAGCATTGTGCTCGGGATAGTGTGCCAGGGATAGTGTGCCAGGGATAGTGTGCCAGGGATAGTGTGCCAGGGATAGTGTGCCAGGGATAGTGTGCCAGGGATACTGTGCCAGGGATAGTGTGCCAGGGATAGTGTGCCAGGGATAGTGTGCCAGGGATAGTGTGCCAGGGATAGTGTGCCAGGGATAGGGATAGTGCCAGGGATAGTGTGCCAGGGATAGTGTGCCAGGGATAGTGTGCCAGGGATAGTGTGCCAGGGATAGTGTGCCAGGGATAATGTGCCAGGGATAGTGTGCCAGGGATAGTGTGCCAGGGATAGTGTGCTCATAGTGTGCCAGTGTGCCAGGGATAGTGTGCCAGGGATAGTGTGCTCGGGATAGTGTGCCAGGGATAGTGTGCCAGGGATAGTGTGCCAGGGATAGTGTGCCATGAATAGTGTGCCAGGGATAGTGTGCTCGGGATAGTGTGCCAGGGATAGTGTGCCAGGGATAGTGTGCTCGGGATAGTGTGCCAGGGATAGTGTGCCAGGGATAGTGTGCCAGGGATAGTGTGCCAGGGATAGTGTGCCAGGGATAGTGTGCCAGGGATAGTGTGCCAGGGATAGTGTGCCAGGGATAGTGTGCTCGGGATAGTGTGCCAGGGATAGTGTGCCAGGGATAGTGTGCTCGGGATAGTGTGCCAGGGATAGTGTGCCAGGGATAGTGTGCCAGGGATAGTGTGCTCGGGATAGTGTGCTCGGGATTGTGTGCCAGGGATAGTGTGCCAGGGATAGTGTGCCAGGGATAGTGTGCCAGGGATAGTGTGCTCGGGATAGTGTGCCAGGGATAGTGTGCCAGGGATAGTGTGCCAGGGATAGTGTGCCAGGGATAGTGTGCCAGGGATAGTGTGACAGGGATAGTGTGCCAGGGATAGTGTGCCAGGGATAGTGTGCCAGGGATAGTGTGCCAGGGATAGTGTGCTCGGGATAGTGTGCTCGGGATAGTGTGCCAGGGATAGTGTGCCAGGGATAGGGTGCCAGGGATAGTGTGCCAGGGATAGTGTGCCAGGGATAGTGTGCCAGGGATAGTGTGCTCGGGATAGTGTGCCAGGGATAGTGTGCCAGGGATAGTGTGCCAGGGATAGTGTGCTCGGGATAGTGTGCCAGGGATAATGTGCCAGGGATAGTGTGCCAGGGATAGTGTGCTCGGGATAGTGTGCCAGGGATAGTGTGCCAGGGATAGTGTGCCAGGGATAGTGTGCTCGGGATAGTGTGCCAGGGATAGTGTGCCAGGGATAGTGTGCTCGGGATAGTGTGCCAGGGATAGTGTGCCAGGGATAGTGTGCTCGGGATAGTGTGCCAGGGATAGTGTGCCAGGGATAGTGTGCCAGGGATAGTGTGCCAGGGATAGTGTGCCAGGGATAGTGTGCCAGGGATTGTGTGCCAGCGATAGTGTGCCAGGGATAGTGTGCTCGGGATAGTGTGCCACTTCCTCACCTCACACCACTGGTAGCCGGCACCATTGCTCCTCATAAAAGTGGGTCAGCTCCCATGGCTAGCTGAGTCCCAAGAATATTAAAATGTTAAAGTTTTAATCATATAACACACCAACTCTGCCACCACAGGTACAAGAGCTAGAGACCAACCTCACTATATAACACACCCACCTGCCACCACAGGTACAAGAGCTAGAGACCAACCTCACCATATAACACACCAACTCTGCCACCACAGGTACAAGAGCTAGAGACCAACCTCACCATATAACACACCAACTCTGCCACCACAGGTACAAGAGCTAGAGACCAACCTCACCATATAACACACCAACTCTGCCACCACAGGTACAAGAGCTAGAGACCAACCTCACCATATAACACACTCTGCCACCACAAGTACAAGAGCTAGAGACCAACCTCACCATATAACACACTCTGCCACCACAGGTACAAGAGCTAGAGACCAACCTCACCATATAACACACCCAACAGGTTCATGAGCTGGAGATCCAGAAGGTGGAGATGCAGAGCGAGGCGCTGCTGAAGGAGCACGAGCTACGTCGGCGGGACCTGGTGATCATGCGCTACGACCGCCAGCGGACGCTGTGTGACGAGATCATCACTCGCCAGAGACAGATGATTGAAGGTCAGGCACATGGCGTCTTGCCTCTTATGCTGCATACTTACCTCTTAAACTTATTTATAACTGTGACAGTATGGGTCTGGTGTCATCTTGAAGGTGTTGTAGGCCCTCGGGCGCCTCATCTTGTGTCGTGCCGGCCCATCCTCCTGTAACAGTACTTTTCGTAATGAGGTTTAAGGAAGCAATAATAAGGAAGGACCTGTAAGCTACTTTTTGGTCCTAATTTTATAGAGTACGGAAAAATAAAGCTAGAAATCGAATATAAATATTCCTGGGCCTAGTATAGCATATCTATGTACTATAAATGGTCTAAGATAGTGTGCATTAGGCCTAAGATTGCTAGGCCTAATGTACTCAACCTCTCTGATTACTAGGAGAGGTTAGGTCACGTTAGATCTTACATTTACTTTGGTAATATAAAAGTTTTTGGTTTGTCAAACTCAACAATACAAAAGTCGACTTTCTGATAGTCCATCAAGACATATTTGTCCCCTTCAGCTAAATAGTAACTGTAAGTACTTTTATTTTAGGAGGATGGGTTGTAAGTTGCATATTTACCCATCAAAGTCAATATATGAATGTTATTGTGGGTTATGTATGGAACCTGACAAGACTGGCAACTACAGTTTAGACGCAGGGTTCATGAAGTCAGATAATAACCAAAATATTATATAATTAACATAGTGTGTGTGGGCCCACACACACACACACACACTAGGGGTTGGGTGGCCGAGTGGACAGCGCTCTATACTCTTGGATCTAGGGACCGGGGTTCGATCCTCGCACCCGGCAGAGACAGATAGGCAGAGTTTCCTTAACCCTGATGCCCCAGTTTCCTAACAGTAAATAGGTACCTGGGAGTTAGACAGCTGTTACGGAACTGTTTCCTGGATGTGTGTGTGTGTGAGTGAAAAAAAAATCATTAGCAGTTAGTAACAGTTGATTGATTGACAGTTGAGACGCGGACCTAAAGAGCAGAGCTCAACCCCTGCAAGCGCAACTAGGTGAATACACACACACACACACACACACACATACAAACGGCAAGGGAGTGTGTGAGGAACTGAATAACAAATTCCAGGTCTTCACCTTAGACCTTAAACCAGCACATAGTAGAACCAACTAGGAAGGAGAACACGCTGGACCTCATTTTCACTAATAATGATGAATTGATCAGGAACATAATGATTACAAATACCTGTTACTCAGATCACAACTTAATTGAAGTTATGACAACCATGGGGAGTAGACCTTCAAAACCAGTCCAGATTCCCGGTGGAGGAGATTTCAGCAAATTCAACTTCAATAATAAACAGATAAACTGGGAGCAAATAAACCAGGACTTCACAGAAATAAACTGGGAAGAACAGCTAGAAAATGCAAACCTGAACCAGTGCCTGGAAAAAATAAGCTCAGTAGCACTAGAAATATGTTCAAACCGCATACCTCTAAGAAAAAAGAGGAAGAGATGCAGATTGGAACGGGAACGTCGTTCCCTATATAGGCGAAGAAAACGAATCGCGGAACAACTTGAGAGTCGCACCCTATCTCAAGAACGGCGAAGAAGGTTAGGTAGAGAAATAAAAACAATTGAACGGAAGCTACAAGAATCATACAAAACCCAGGAGAGGCAAAGAGAGCAAAAGGCCATCAGTGAAATAGAAAGAAATCCGAAATATTTTTTCTCCTATGCAAAATCAAGATCAAAGACCACATCTAGTATCGGGCCCCTGCGAAAGGGAGATGGAACTTTCACCGATGACAACAAAGAAATGAGCGAGCTACTGAGGACGCAGTACGACTCTGTTTTCAGCGAGCCATTAAACACACTAAAGATTGATAACCCAAATGAATTTTTCATGGATACGATACCAACATCAAATCATATATCAGACGTCACCCTATCCCCACTGGATTTTGAAGAAGCCATAAACAGTATGCCTATGCACTCTGCACCAGGCCCGCATTCTTGGAACTCCATATTCATAAAGAACTGTAAAAAACCACTATCGCAGGCCCTCCACATTCTGTGGAGACAAAGCCTAGATACTGGCGTTATTCCTGATATACTAAAAACAGCAGAGATAGCACCACTTCATAAAGGAGGAAATAAGGCAGAGGCAAAAAACTACAGACCGATAGCACTAACATCGCACATCATAAAAATTTTTGAGAGAGTGCTAAGAAGTAAAATCACAAAATACATGGAATCACAGCAACTCCATAACCCCGGACAACATGGTTTCAGAACAGGGCGCTCTTGCCTGTCGCAGTTGCTGGACCACTATGATATGGCATTAGATGCTATGGAAGACAAACAAAACGCGGATGTAATTTACACAGATTTCGCAAAAGCTTTTGATAAATGTGACCATGGTGTTATTGCACATAAAATGCGTTCAAAAGGAATTACCGGAAAAATAGGCAGATGGATCTACAATTTCCTGACCCACAGAACCCAATATGTAATAATCAACAAAATAAAATCCAGCCCATCAACCGTGAAGAGCTCAGTCCCCCAGGGTACTGTGCTTGCTCCAGTACTTTTTCTCATCCTCATTTCGGACATAGGCAAGAACACAACCTATAGCACTGTATCATCCTTTGCAGATGACACTAGGATCTTCATGAGAATAGGCAACATAGAGGACACGGCGAACCTCCAGTCAGATGTAGATCAGGTCTTTCTATGGGCTACAGAAAATAATATGGTGTTTAACGAAGATAAGTTCCAGCTCATGCGCTATGGAAAAAATGAAAATATAAAAACGGAAACCACGTACAAAACTCAGGCAAATCATAACATAGAACGAAAAGGCAATGTAAAGGACCTGGGTGTACTCATGTCGGAAGACCTTACCTTTAAATAACACAATAAAGTAGCCGTCACAACTGCAAGAAAAATGACAGGTTGGATAACAAGAACTTTTCACACTAGAGATGCTATACCGATGATGATACTTTTCAAAACGCTTGTGCTCTCTAGAGTAGAGTACTGCTGTACAATGACAGCACCTTTCAAAGCTGGAGAAATTACTGACCTGGAGAGCGTGCAGAGATCCTTTACTGCTAGAATCCACTCAGTAAAACATCTAAACTATTGGGACCGACTAAAGAGCCTAAAACTGTACTCCCTTGAGCGCAGGCGGGAGAGGTACATAATAATTTACACGTGGAAAATATTAGAGGGGCTGGTCCCAAACCTGCACACAGAAATAACATCACATGAGACCAGAAGACATGGCAGGATGTGCAGAATACCCCTGTTGAAAAACAGAGGTGCAACTGGTACTCTGAGAGAGAACTCTATCAACATCAGAGGCCCGAGACTGTTCAACACGCTTCCACCACACATAAGGGGCATAACTGGCCGAGCCCTCACAGTGTTCAAGAGAGAACTGGATAAGCACCTCCAAAGGATACCTGATCAACCAGGCTGTGACTCATACGTCAGGCTGCGAGCAGCCGCGTCCAACAGCCTGGTTGATCAGTCCGGCAACCAGGAGGCCTGGTCGACGACCGGGCCGCGGGGACGCTAAGCCCCGGAAGCACCTCAAGGTAACCTCAAGGTAAGGTAGAGCAAGGAGAAATTCCAGAGATAAGAAAGGAAATAGTTAACCAGGAAGCATTAGAAGAGTTTGAGATTACCAGTGGGGAAGTAAGGAAATGTTTACTAGAGTTGGATGTGACAAAGGCTATAGGCCCAGATGGAATCTCCCCTTGGATACTAAAGGAAGGAGCAGAAGAACTGTGCCTACCACTCTCCATGGTGTATAAAAAATCACTGGCAACAGGGGAACTGCCAGAAATTTGGAAAGCAGCTAATGTAGTCCTGATATACAAGAAAGGGGATAGACAGGGGGTACTGAACTACAGGCCAGTGTCCCTAACCTGCATACCATTTTTTTTTAGATATATACAAGAGTTGTTACATTCTTGTACAGCTCTAGTACGTGTAGCGTTTCGGGCACGTCCCTGGAATACGATCCCTGCCGCGAACAATCGTTTTTACAACCAAGTACTCATTTTACTGTTGAATTAAACAGAGGCTACAGTTAAGGATTTGCGTTCAGTAAATCCTCCTCGGCCAGGATACGAACCCATGACAAAGCGCTCGCGGAACGCCAGGCGAGTGTCTTACCACTGCACCACGGAGACTGGTGAACTGCAACCATACAAGCTGATGGAGAAGAGTGTGCGAAAAAAGCTAGTGGAACATCTGGAGCTAAAGAACTTTGTAACACAGCATCATCATGGGTTCAGGGATAGCAAGTCCTACCTCACAGGGATACTTGAATTATACGACTAGGCAAGAAGGAGAGGGGTGGGCTGACTGCATATTTTTGGATTGCCAGAAAGCCTTTGATACAGTACCACACAAGAGGCTAGTGAAAAAGCTGGAGATGCAGGCTGGAGTGAAAGGGAAGGTACTTCATTGGATAAAGGAGTACCTAAGCAACAGAAGACAACGAGTCTCTGTGAGGGGTGAGGTCTCAGATTGGCAAGATGTTACAAGTGGAGTCCCGCAGGGGGTCAGTCCTTGGACCTGTACTGTTTCTGATATATATAAATGATCTCCCAGAGGGTATAGACTCGTTTCTCTCAATGTTTGCTGATGATGCAAAAATTATGAGGAGGATTGAAACAGAGGATGATAGTAGTATGCTACAAGATGACCTAGACAGACAGACTGAGTGAATGGTTCAACAAATGGCTGTTGAAGTTCAACCTAAGTAGATGCAAAGTAATGAAACTAGGCGGTGGAAACAGGATGCAGAATAGGAGATAAGGTACTTAATGAAACGGACAGAGTGAAAGATCTAGGAGTTGATATCACACCAAACCTGTCTCCTAAATCCTACATAAAAAGAATTACGTCATCGGCATATGTGAAGCTGGCTAACATCAGAACAGCCTTTAGAAATCTGTGTACGGAATCATTCAGAATCTTGTATACCACATATGTAAGACCAAGCCTGGAGTATGCGGCCCCAGCATGGAGC